GGAGGACCTCTTCCTTGTAAGTGACATGCTTCAGTTAGGCATGGATGCAAAGTTTCAACTTACAGGTGTTTTATGCGTAAAAAAGAAGGTTTTCCGATTCCCGGAACGAGTTGTTTGTTTTTCTGAGCTTTCAAACTTGCAAAGGGTCCATCCGCAGAGATATTAGCAATAACAGCAAAGGGCTACACGTATAAGGATTGCAAGCCAATTAACGACCAGTGACGCAAGCCTGGAAGTGACTGCGTAGGGCTCTGAATGCCGACGCTAGATCGTTACTTCGATTTATTGAGTTCTATCAGAGGGTACACGCTTCAATCAATTCTCCGACGTGAGCAGCCGCGAACTCATGAACCATTTCATAGGCATAGGCAGCCTCTTGCGCATACATGAGCATAAGCTGGCTGTGCAACGGGATGAAGAATTATCAGGGAAGGACGTGTCTGGGTTCTGAACTAGTATCCATGCCTGCGCAGGGCATATTGGTTATTGGTTACCCGCTAAGATCCATTTCCTCTTGATACATACGTATCCCAAAAGAGTTTTCCGAAAAATTTGAAATGCTACGTCAAACTAACGATGACTCATGTACGGAGGGAACCGATTTACGGTTCTTGTCACCACTTAGATTTGATCAGTCTTTTCTTAGATGATTTGTCTGTTAGTACTATCATTCTACGGAACCTCTACTGGATCAAACTTTGGTGTCTAGGAATGAACAAGTTAGATTCCATCGATATGAATCGGACATAAACATACGCTTCATTGTTTACGGCGGCCAGCGAATCCCAGTGACCAAGTAATTAATAGACTTGAGTTCAGGTCATAAGTTTAAAAATTTGAAATGAAACCCGACTAGTTCAAATAAGCAAAAAGATGAGATGCTCAATCCTGCTAAGGCATCTTGAGAACAAGGAGCAGCCGGCTGCCTCCATCTTCGTTCTTTTACATCAAACCGACGTTGTCTTTCGTAAATTCCATCGAGGATTCAAAAGGCATTCGAGGAATAGTCAGTAAATTCTGGTCGGCTTCTGTTAATACAAACTAAATTTGACGGAGATAGAAGGAACAAATAGAGTCATTTCCGAAGGAGTTACGGTTGCCCCTTATATACTGAAGTCTGCTTAAGCCGAGATCTCGGAAATTTAGAAAAGTCGACACATGAAGTAGTTACTATTAAGGTTTTTCTTACTTCTTATACCAATTGATCATACTGTTCTCTAGTTACATGAAGTCTTTTCACGAAAGTTTTATTCATAGATACCCGAATGTCATCGGCAAGCCAGACCAATACGATATCAACTCGATTTCTAAACGCAAAGGTCGAACTATCGGATAAATATCGACATTGGTGACTTACCTTCAGGGCAGAAAATTATTTAGGTTTACGTAAGGAGACGACAGTAAAAGCGTT